AAGACCAAATTATTTCGTAATTAATTTAAAAAAAAAATTAATCCTTTCCAGCACGTTCGAAATTTTGGTGAAATATCTTGTTTCTTTTACGTCAGCGGTTGACGTAAGAATTACGATTTTTGATTTTGCGCTTTTTTTCCGATACAAAAACAATGACTTGGAAATTCTGGAAAAAATCAAATAATTGTCGGTTTTTAATGAAAATTTCTGGAATTATTCACAAATGAATGAAAGTATTTTTGAAAGTGTTTCTTTAGAAAATCATGGTAATTTTTTTTTTTTTACGTATGTTACCCCTCACTAACTAAAATTCATAAAATTTCGAGAAAATACATTTTCTTTCCAAAATTTTTTATTAGTTAAAAGTAGGACTCCTTGGAGAATGTAAATCATCCATTTTTTTTTTCAAACTACTGCTCCTTTCCCGAAAATCTGTTCCGAATCATAAAATAAAAAATGAACTAAAACTATGACATTATTTAATTAGAAAAGCTTTTTAACTGCTTTTATGAATAAAATTTATTAAGTACACTATTGTCTTAAGAAAAACAAATTCGATGGACTAAGAATTTTTGCAAGAACTGTTTTCATTTTTAAACTTTTAATTATAATAATTTATAATAATTTATATCGTTTAAATTTTGTATTACTTTCTTCCGGTTAGGTGATATTGTAATTAACTGGAAACTATATTTACGAATCAAAAATTGGAAAGCTCAGTATAGTTCGATTTGCACCAAGAATTTTAAAAGAATTTTTATTTTTTTATGTATATCTAACGTGCCCTTGTTTGAAAGTATGGTCTACCATACACGAAATAATCAGAAAATAAGAGCGATGACTGTAGTAAATATAAATTAAACATTCCTAAATTTAGATTACGGAGAATATTTTCAAACATTCTTAAGATTACGGAGTACTTAATTTTATTAAAAAAAAAAAAAAGAGTTCACCTGTCATTTACTTAAATTATGTTTTAGCAGATAAAGTCTCCGGTAGAAGAGTAATAAACTGTCAACAGCTCTTAAATTAAATGTCAAGTGATTTACGACATGTTGCCAAGCACTTAACCGCGCTACAATTTGTTACAAAATTTCCGATTTCTAGTTATTTTAAACTAAGTAAATAGTATTTTTTAATCAGATTAATTATGCTTTAAATTTGTGTATATTTTATTTTTGGAAGATTATTAAAATATTAACTTTTGTTTACAAATGTGTCAAAATTGGGTGAATATAAACGATTTCTGAAAACGATCAAAAAGTTGAAATTCCATTCAATACTATTTTGTACAGTATTTACATTAGTCGGACTATTGTCCTCATCTTTGTCGCCATATTTGTCACAACGTTTCGGCCGTTGTACGCTCCGGCCTTCTTCAGGTGGTTGGAATTTCGAACTGAACCCTTTATTTCGATCACTGGGGTAGACTTCTAGTTCCACGTGCCATGTTTGATGGATGTCAGTTATCAGTTATCTCCTGCTAATTTTCCCTCTGAAAGTTTTCCACTGCCTTAACCGGGTATTGAACTCACACTCTTTGGGTCTGTCACTGGATGTAACCAACGCCTTTATCCACTGTGCCATGTGTCCTTGAGGACCACCCGAAGAAGGCCGGAGCGTACAACGGCCGAAACGTTGTGACAAATATGGCGACAAAGATGAGGACAATAGTCCGACTAATGTAAATACTGTACATAATACCTCATCTCAGAAATATAGACAGAATACTATTTTGATTTTAAATACAGCAGAGTATTTTGCCTACTGGAAATATTAAGTTTAATCATTTAGCTTTCAATTAAAGCTAAAATAAAAAGCTTCAAGGATGCTTTTTCAGTTCTAAAAATTAATTTCAAACTTTAAGTATCGCTTTATTTTTGTGGAGGTCTCTATATAAAAGGAAAATAAGAGAAGATGCATAAGGATTTATTGAGAAAATAAAGGAAAAATGATGACAAAGACGTAAAACGAAAGATTTAAAACACGTAGCAAAAAAGAAAAACATGATGAAATATTGTAATGAAAAAAAGGACGATGAGAAAACAAATAATATAAAGAAAAAAGAGAAAAAAAAAAAGAAATCACAATATAAAAAAGAAGAAAAATTTAAATGTGTAAAAAAGAGAAAGGAGGAAGAAAGAAAGAGGTTAAAAAAGAAAAAGCAAAAAAGAAAATAATTATATAAAAAGGAAGAACAAGGAAGAAAATATGTATTGTGAGACCGGAAACTACCTACACAATAGACTCTTCCAGGCCTATATTAAGTAGGCGACAGAACACTCTAGAGAGTGACACTGAGTGACATAGAGAGCCACGTACGGCTACCAGTATTGGACACTAACATATAATAAGCTCCGCTTACACTATCTCTGTAACCTGTTGTTAATATATCTTTCTTACATCTAATCCGTGTTCCGTGTTTTCCTTCTGTGGTCCCAACTTTGGCCTCACATTAATATGATAAAAGGAAAAGAAGAGAAAGGTGAAAAAGAACAAATCAGCTAAAAAGAAATGAAGGAAAAATAGAAAAAGAGGAAATCATATAAGAGACTAGCAAAGAAATTAAAAAAAACGAAAACTTAAAAAGAAGGAAAAAAGAGAAAAAAAAGCAAATTTTGTCGGGCAAAGAATGAAAATGAGAGAGAAAAGAGCAGAACAAGAAGAACCGACATAAATTATGTAAATAAAAAGGATAGAAAAAGTCTAAAAAATAAGAAAGATTTTTAAAAAAGGAAGAAAAAGTACCGAAAGAAAAAGAAAACACTTAAAAAAAAGCATGTAGAAAGAAAAAGAAAAGAAAAAAAAAAAAAAAACACAAGCAGAAAGAAAAAGAAAATAATTGAAAGATAAGTAAATAAAAAGAAAGGAAAAACGAGGGAAAGAAAAAAGAAGAAAAATCCATAAGAAAAACAAAGAAAAAGAAAAAAGAAAACAAGGGAAAGAAAAGCAAACAGAAAGAAAAAGAAAAGACGTGAAAAAAGAAAGAAAAAAGATGCGAAAGAAAAACGAGAAGAAAGAAAAAAAAGACAGTGAAGATAAACAAGTAGAAAAAAAAAAAACAGAAAACATGTGAAAAAAATGTAAAAAAAAGAAAGACAATACGTGGAAACAAAGAAAATAAAAAGAATGAAAAACGCGTGAAAGACAAGGAAATAAAAAGAAAAAGAAAATACGTGAAACCAAAAAAAAAAAAAAAAAAAACGACGCGAAAGAAAAATGAGAAGAAAGATAAAAGAAAAGATGTAGAAGAAAAAACAAGTGGAACGAAAAATAAAACACGTGAATGAAAAGCAATTAGAAAGAAAAAGAAAAAAAATGACAGAAAAAAGAAAGCACGTGAAAGAAAATAGGAAAAAAAATCACCCGAAAGAAAGACGAGTAGAAAAAAAATAAAACAAGTGACAGAAAATAAGAAAGGAAAAAAAAAAAAAAACACCTGAAAGAAAGACAAGTAGAAAGAAGAAAAAAAAACGTAGAAAAAAAAGACAAGTGGAACGAAAATGAAAACACGTGAATGAAAAGAAAATAGAAAGAAAAATAAAACAAGTAACAGAAAATAAGAAAGAAGAAAAAAAATCAGATGAAAGAAAGATGAGTAGAAAGAAAAAAAAGAAAGCAAATGTCAAGAAATAAGAAACAAGAGAAAAAACAGTGCTCAGAGATAGAAGAAAAAGACTTGTGAGAGAAAGACGAGTAGAAAGAAAATAAAACACGTGAAAGAAAAGGAAAAAAGAAAGAAAAAGAATACACGAAACAGAAAAAAAAAAAAAAAAAAAAAAAACACTTAAAAGATGATGAGTAGAAAGAAAAAGAAGCCAAGTGACAGAAAAAAAATAATAAAAAATAAAACCAGATGAGAGAAAGACGAGTAGAAAGAAAAAAAAAGTAGGAGAAAATAAAGATAGAAAAAAAACCTCCTGAGAGAAAGAGGAGGAAAAAGACAAAGACTAAAACCTGAAAGAAAAAAAAAAAAAGATAATTACGATGCAGAAGACGTAATGACGGATGCCATGTGTTCTTCAAAAATAAAAAAATAAAAAAATCTGAAGATCTAATGAGTTTAATTTACCAAAGTCTTTGAATTTAACAGCAAATTTCTCCGAATAATCAAACAATGAGAAGAAGAAAAAAAACATATATATTAAAAACAAGAAGACAAAAAAATTAACTGTTTATTTTCTGCATCGCCTACGGCTTCATAAGCTTTTAATGGCGGCTCTGATTCTTTAATCAGCGGTAAGAGTAATAAATTGATAAAAAAGTGGTGCATTTCCGACAACAATACTATATATATATATATATATATATATATATATATATATATATATATATATATATATATATATATATATATATATATATATATATATATATATATATATATATATATATATATATATATATATATATAAGCACTATCCAAATAATCTTCGGCTCAGCATGTCAGGATAAATCCAACAGAGTCTAATTTTTTTTCAGTGGCTATAAACATAATTTTCCATTTAGAAGTACCACGTTAGAAATCATGCTTGTTGATGATTTTGTTGTTTAGCTACCGAGATGCTTGATGAGATAAAGACGAGACTTGAGGCAACAGAAATCTGGTTCTACAGGAGGATGCTGAGAATATTATGGACTGAACGTGCCTCAACAATAAAGATTTAAGGAAAATGGAAACAAAAAGGACAACTATACTTAGAATCAGAAAGAGATAATGGAAATTTCGCATAATGAAGAAAGAGTGTTTGTGATATTTGAAACTTGTGGACAGGAAAGAAACGTATAATATAGACCTAATGAGCTTTTGCAAATGCCTGGAAGAATTTCGGATTTGTAATAGTGTTATAGTGGAACACACCTATTCTATTATTAATAGACTCTCACACCTATATTAAGTAGGTGTAGTGGCGGTCGCTCAGTGAGGTCGGTCTGTCAGTCGACTGGCTGATCGGTTGAACTCTCTGCTTTCAGGCGGGGAGGAACCCGAAAGAGGCTTC